TTGCGCGAGAGGCAACTCAGGCATCTTGTTTGGCTGCCGATTCTCCGTGGACGCTATCCTATAAGCCTAGACCTTGCCCCGTCAATATATATATATATATATATATATATATATATATATATACAGATATATATATATATATATATGTATATATATATATATATATATATATATATATATATATATATATATATATATATATATATATATATATATATATATATATATATATATATATAATGTCCCACATAACATTACCCTGACTTTAAAAATATGCCCGAACACGTAATTACGACGCGACAAAATGCAAGTTGCTTAGTGCTGCCTGTAGTCAGTCAGACACTTTTTTGTTTTCCCAAATATTGTTTAATTAGACCTGTTTATATACCAACTTTTGAAAGAACGAAGACAAATAAAAAATCACCGAGAAAGTTGTAGATCTGTTTGCGAAACGTGCAATTAGTCGTGAACTTTACTTCTGTTTAGTATTAGTGTTTTCTGGTAATCACAAATGCTTGTGAAATACCAAAAAAAAATACCACGTGACAAACCCGCTCGCGCGTCAGTGCGCACGATAATTCTAATGCTCCACAACGTTCCGCGTATGAACGACACACTTTCTTCGCACTGGTTCATGACAGCGGTAAGCAGTCACAGCGGTTATCGTTTTTGTGGCCGATAGCAAAACGTGCTCATCATAAAGCCCCCACCGTCGTTGCGGGCCAGCCGAAACAGCACAATGGGGCAAATACTATGGTTGTCCGTGCGCGGAACGTTAGGAAACACTGGAATGATTGTGTGCACTAGCGCAGGAGCGGGTTTGTCACGTGGTGTTTTTTGTATATCACAGGCATTTGTAATTAGCAGAAGAACACTAACACCTAACAGATATAAAGTTCGAAACTGTCCCATCGGACGTTTCGCCAACTGATCTACAACTTTCTCATTGAAATTTTCTATCCATTTTCGTTTCTAGAAAATTTAGTTAAATTAACATACCTAAATAAACAATATTTGAGAACACAAAAATTGTTGGACTAACTCCAGGTAATGTTGAGCAACATACATTTGATAGAGTCCTAATCGCGCGTGCTGGCATATTTTTAAAATCTGGCCAAATTTACCTTAGACTTCATATATATATATATATATATATATATATATATATATATATATATTTATATGTATATATATATATATATATATATATATATATATATTTATATATAGTAAATGCAAAATGAAATGTGGTAGCAGCGTCGGGACAGAAGCAGCAAGAGCTGGCCGGGTATACGGGCGTCGTCGCAGCAGCAGCCAGGCATCCCAGCTCACCACTCGCGCCAACGTGTCAATGTCGCTGTGGTAGTGAGCCTTCCTCTTTACTACATATCGTCCCCCGTCGAAAAAAGAGCCGTCCTGACGACTCACGGAGAACAAAGTACGAGCGGATCATAATTTAGTTTCAACCGCTGGACGTGAACGGTTTCACGACCCCGAAAGCGCTGGTCTGTGGATGTCGTAACGGGTTCGACAGTGTAGTTAAAAGGTGAAGTCTGCGAGACAACGCGGTAGGGTCCCTGGTATTTTGAAACAAGCTTCGAGAAAAGGCCTGTGGGGACAGTGGGGACCCAAAGCCACACAAGGATGTCCGGAACAAAGTTAGGGTACGGGTGGTTTTAGTCACGCCGTGATTTTCGTCTCCATTGGTCGATGGTTTTGAATGACTAGACGAGCTTACGCATTTCCCGGCGCGGCAGGCAGCTTAAAAAATGGGCGTAGACTCGGAGGAATCGTGGTGGTAAGGCAGAATGTCATCTAGTGTAGTGGAAGGGTGTCGGCCATATAACAGGAAAATGGCGAAAAGTCTATAGTCCGCCTGCGGAGCAGTATTGTATGCATATCTCACAAAAGGCAGAATGAGGTTCTAATTGGAGTGGTCTGAGGCGACATACTTAGATATCATGTTGCCAAGGGTACAGTTTAATCTTTCCGTCAAGCCATTCGTTTAGGGATGGTAGGCGGTGATAGCACGATGAAATGATACGGCAGTCGACAAGGGAATGTGTTGATGACTTCGGAGAGGAATACGCGTCCTCTGGCGCTGAGAAATTCACACGGTGCGTGGTGACGGATATTAAAGTTCCACAGGAGAAAGATGATACGTCGCGTGCTGTGGCAGCAGGCAAGCGTCTGTTTCTGAGTATCACGTCATGTAGTCGACAGCGACAACGATCCAACGGTTCCTGAAAGCCGTGAATGCAAGAGGCCCGTACAGATCAATTGCAATGCGGTCGAAAGGCCTGGCTGGACAAGAATTGGCTGGATCAAACCAGAGGTGTGATGAGGCAGAGCTTTTCGTCGTTGGAACTGCGGGCGTGACTGAATGTACTTGCACACAAAGGTGTACGTGCCTCGCCAATAAAACCCGGAGGAAAGCCGAGCGTACGTTTTTAACATACCGCATGTGTGCACTGAGGGTCAGCGTGGAAAGCTGAACATATTGCACAATGAAGATGGCGAGGTATAACCATAGCCACTTTTGGCCATCATACTTGTAATTCCTGTGACAAAGGAGGCCATCGCAGATATCAAAGTGAACTGCTTTACGGCGCAATGTCCCAGAAGATGAAGACGTCGATGGGTCTGGAATGAAATCGCAAAAGAGCGCTGATCCAGTCATCCATACGTTGCTCAGATGCAATGAAGAATTTTGCTGGAAACTCAACCGCTACGTCCAAGGCAGATAGACAGACAGAGTTTTCCGGTGATACAGGTGAATTCGATAGGGCGTCGGCATCAGTGTTGACGTCGGCCAGACCTGTAGACAACACGCATGTCAAACTTTTGCAACCGCAAAGCCCAGCGAGCTAAACGGCTGGGTGTTCCTCTTCACTACAATATATATATGTATGTATATATATATATATATATTATATATATATATATATATTATATATAGTAAATGCAAAATGAAATGTGGTAGCAGCGTCGGGACAGAAGCAGCAAGAGCTGGCCGGGTATACGGGCGTCGTCGCAGCAGCAGCCAGGCATCCCAGCTCACCACTCGCGCCAACGTGTCAATGTCGCTGTGGTAGTGAGCCTTCCTCTTTACTACATATCGTCCCCCGTCGAAAAAAGAGCCGTCCTGACGACTCACGGAGAACAAAGTACGAGCGGATCATAATTTAGTTTCAACCGCTGGACGTGAACGGTTTCACGACCCCGAAAGCGCTGGTCTGTGGATGTCGTAACGGGTTCGACAGTGTAGTTAAAAGGTGAAGTCTGCGAGACAACGCGGTAGGGTCCCTGGTATTTTGAAACAAGCTTCGAGAAAAGGCCTGTGGGGACAGTGGGGACCCAAAGCCACACAAGGATGTCCGGAACAAAGTTAGGGTACGGGTGGTTTTAGTCACGCCGTGATTTTCGTCTCCATTGGTCGATGGTTTTGAATGACTAGACGAGCTTACGCATTTCCCGGCGCGGCAGGCAGCTTAAAAAATGGGCGTAGACTCGGAGGAATCGTGGTGGTAAGGCAGAATGTCATCTAGTGTAGTGGAAGGGTGTCGGCCATATAACAGGAAAAATGGCGAAAAGTCTATAGTCGCCTGCGGAGCAGTATTGTATGCATATCTCACAAAAGGCAGAATGAGGTTCTAATTGGAGTGGTCTGAGGCGACATACTTAGATATCATGTTGCCAAGGGTACAGTTTAATCTTTCCGTCAAGCCATTCGTTTAGGGATGGTAGGCGGTGATAGCACGATGAATGATACGGCAATCGACAAGGAATGTGTTGATGACTTCGGAGAGGAATACGCGTCCTCTGGCGCTGAGAAATTCACACGGTGCGTGGTGACGGATATTAAAGTTCCACAGGAGAAAAGATGATACGTCGCGTGCTGTGGCAGCAGGCAAAGCGTCTGTTTCTGAGTATCACGTCATGTAGTCGACAGCGACAACGATCCAACGGTTCCTGAAAGCCGTGAATGCAAGAGGCCCGTACAGATCAATTGCAATGCGGTCGAAAGGCCTGGCTGGACAAGAAATTGGCTGGATCAAACCAGAGGTGTGATGAGGCAGAGCTTTTCGTCGTTGGAACTGCGGGCGTGACTGAATGTACTTGCACACAAAGGTGTACGTGCCTCGCCAATAAAACCCGGAGGAAAGCCGAGCGTACGTTTTTAACATACCGCATGTGTGCACTGAGGGTCAGCGTGGAAAGCTGAACATATTGCACAATGAAGATGGCGAGGTATAACCAGTAGCCACTTTTGGCCATCATACTTGTAATTCCTGTGACAAAGGAGGCCATCGCAGATATCAAAGTGAACTGCTTTACGGCGCAATGTCCCAGAAGATGAAGACGTCGATGGGTCTGGAATGAATCGCAAAAGAGCGCTGATCCAGTCATCCATACGTTGCTCAGATGCAATGAAGAATTTTTGCTGGAAACTCAACCGCTACGTCCAAGGCAGATAGACAGACAGAGTTTTCCGGTGATACAGGTGAATTCGATAGGGCGTCGGCATCAGTGTTGACGTCGGCCAGACCTGTAGACAACACGCATGTCAAACTTTTGCAACCGCAAAGCCCAGCGAGCTAAACGGCTGGGTGTTCCTCTTCACTACAATATATATATGTATGTATATATATATATATATATATATATATATATATATATTATATATATATATATTCAGCAGGAAGTTCAAGGGGTCTGGTACGTATAAAGAACACAAGCGAGTACACGTACGAAAGAGCAATACTTTTATGTCAACGTTTCAGCCGTGGCACGGCCTTCGTCATTCCCTGACGAAGGCCGTGCCACGGCTGAAACGTTGACATAAAAGTATTGCTCTTTCGTACGTGTACTCGCTTGTGTTCTTTATATATATATATATATATATATGTGTGTGTGTGTATGTGTGTGTGTGTGTGTGTGTGTGAGTACACACAGATTGAAATGTGGCAGATGATCTCATGCTCCTACATTTTTTTCAGACCGCCAGCTGCATGCAAACGAGTGGTCGATCTCCTAATTGCAAGCATCCCTGTACCTGTGACCGGGTCGTCAATGGTCCTTTTACAACAACTTTTGAATGTAGACGCAAGTATTAGAAATGATTTGTAAAATAAACAATCCAAGAATTGGGTGGTGACTGGCAGACCTTGTTTCTAGTCTTAGAAACACTGTGAGTCTACTTCAGCATAGATATGCGATGGTTGGCTGAGACGAACAATTGTGAATTAGTTGTGCATACACGAATAAATAATTCTTCAGGAATATTACAGACATCTGTAATACGCCAGTATGACTTTCCGATAAAGAAATAGGATTTGTCACATTACAAATTATAGTGTTCCTTATTAGAAAAGTGAAGGCCTCACCTAGCGCAAAACTGGGCACTCGACACAAGCTACAAAATCATTACAAGAAGTCTTGATGGTGTCACGCTATCACGATTTTACAGGTAACACAAATAGCTAGTGCCAATGGCCGTTAGGTTGAGCTGGTGTCGAAGGCGCTACAAAAGCACGTCGATTGTAGAAAACTGTCCGGTATGGGGGGGGGGGGGGGTTAGTTGCTGCTTTCTCGTGTGAGTCGTCTTAGACAATTGTATAAAAACTGCGAGATAACTTCAAGCATTTGCCGGGGCAAAACTATGCTGATAGTAAAAACGCGTTCCTGTACACACCAGAGAGCTTCACACCCAGGCTCTCTCTTCATTGGGGATGACAATACATGCCTTTCAGCGGGAAACACAGGCACAAGCTCATGTTTCCCGGCCGAATTGCAAGGTGGCGTCCACATCTGAAGCAGCGCCTCCTCTATTTTATCAACGCTAGCCAGATGTGGCCAATTTCCCGTAGAGGAGGTGGTGTTTGAGGCAAGACGAATATGAATGGCTACTTGGGCATTGTATTTTTTATCTAGACTTGCAAACACCTTCAAAGCGACATTATATTTAGAGGCACCGGGAATGATCATGTCCATTTAATGAAATCTAGTTTTACGTGCCTTAGTAAAAACACTATCTACATTATCGAATGTTCATAGTGTCATAAACAATACAGTGGCGAAACAGAACAGCCTGTTAATGATATGATAACAACATGGCAAAGAAGTTATCGAAAACCTGTGACATAATATTTTAGTGTAGCAAGGACACCACTTCAACAATCTCAAACTCTACATATTCCAGTCAAATTGGCAGCCCTACAAAAGACAGAAAGCATACAGAGTCGCCCCTTTATCACAAGGTAAATACACTGCAGCCAGTAGGGTATAAACGCTTATAAAAGGGCTTTTGAACCCATTCGATGTGGCGCATACGCAAAGAAAACCACTGTGAGTTAAGCTGCTGGTCTAGAAATTTTATTTATGCCATTGTTAACTTCTGAAAACCAGTGCGGCACTGGTACTCAGCGACGAGGGTGCATGCTAACCTCCCCACCCCTTCTTTTTTTTCTCTCACAAAATACCTGTTCCTTTTTCACTCACACAACTCGTCACATTACCCCGCTCTCCACTCTCTCAGAACTGCGTATCCAATGTTGCTTCTCCCCCTTCTTTGTTGGGATGGCGGAAAGGGTTGAAAGCGTAGATAAGCCAGCGCTAAAGAGATCAGTTCTGTTCTAGCATTGAGGAACACAAGTCCGCCTGTCGAAACATCGGCTCGACACAACCCCTGTTTACAGATTTTTGATCACAAGGGACCACATTGCCCTTCATATCGTTTTTTGAAGGAAATAATGTAAGAATTAAGTGATAGAGAGGTTAGTCAACTCTCGGCTACACTGTGAGACGAAGGGGATGAAGGGAATAGAAGGTGACAAAAAAGAGATGTTACAAACAGAAAGACAGAAAAAAATAGCGAAAGAGGAAAAGCAAACTAAACAGAATACGACACTACACTCTGTCTCTAAGGCCTGTTGTCCCCAAAAAACATAATAAAGCTCTCAAAGCCTCCTGAGCTGAGGATGGACACGGCCAATGACCCAGAATCTTTTCTTCCGACGAAGACCGGCAAGTTCTTGTTTTGGCACGTATATATATATATATATATATATATATATTATATATATATATATATATATATATATATATAAGGTATGAAGAAAGGCAGGGAGGCTAACCGGAAAGCAAGTATCTGGTGTGCTACTCTGCACTTGGGAAGAAAAATGAGAAACAGAAAAGTAAGGAAAAGGGAATGAAAAAAGAAAGTGACACGGAAAGCAAAAATACACATTTGCACACACACAAACACACACACACACACACACACACACGCACACACACACGCACGCACGCACGCACACACACACACACACACACACATTCCCGCTAACTAAAACGTCACAAACGTTCCACGAGGCAGGTTGATCGTAGAAACTTCAGGAAGGCCTTCGTTGCTTTTCGGCGTGAACAATGATCTTTCCAGCATTCCAAAATTAATTTTTCGGAAAGGGGCTGGTCATCGACGCGTGCAAACACTGCTGACATGGATTGTCTCTGGCAGTTGCACTGAAAGCATTGACACAAAATATGTTCAATGGTTTTGTCAGTGGCGCAACGATCACACGCACCAGTGTGGGGCCATCTGATGCGGCAAGCAAAGGCGTTCGTGTAAGGCGCCCCAGGCCACATATGACAAAGAACGGCTGTCTCAGATCTGCATAACTCAAATGGAATGGAAAGTGGTAGGTATAGATCCAGACGATGACGACGGATGTGTAGAAATTGGGGCGTGCTCCACAGAGACCTGGCGACATCATGCACGAAAGTATTAATCATTGCTGCTGCGTCGCTTCTTGGCGGGAAGGAAGAAGACGACGACGTTGATAGTGCAGCTAACCCTACCCTCGATCTTCTATTTTTCGTTGTTTTGTGTTATTTTCCGTCGTTCTCGCGAAGACGTCTGCGGCATCAAAAAGGTTTTACCCTTAGCGGGCTCTGCTGCTGACCCGCAGGTCGCGGGTTCGTATCCCAGCTGCGGCGGCTGCATTTCCGATGGAGGCGGAAATGTTGTAGGCCCGTGTGCTCAGATTTGGGTGCACATTAAAGAACCCCAGGTGGTCAAAATTTTCGGAGCCCTCCACTACGGCGTCTCTCATAATTATATGGTGGCTTTGGGACGTTAAACCCCACAAATCAATCAACCCTTAGCGGGCCCATTCCGAGAAGACGCGACCGAAAGAAGGATCTGATTCCGGGACTTCGGCTATGGGCCAGCCATACAAGCGACCAAGACAGACACCTTATCCATCCCACACGCCGTCAAAACGTTCAGACCAACAAGCAGGCGGACGTAACCATGGCGACACCAATGAAACTACAACCGACGACGACGCATCCACAATAGTGGGACTCGAGGAGAAGGTAGACGATTAGTCTGACATGGAGGACGACAACTTCAAGATGGTAAGCCACCGCAAAAGCAGAACTGTGGGTATTGCGTTGATTATATCACCTGTAGAAAGCGAAAAAGACTTAAGACAGGTGAGCCCTATTGCTTTACATTCTGCGGTGACATCAGTCATTGGCACTGAGCTAGTTCGGAGTTATTTCACTGCTCAAGGTTCGCTACTACTTGACGTGGCCATGAAGATCAAGTAAACGCGCTTTTCAAATGTGGCAAGCTGTGTGGTGTAGAAGTTAGTGCTCGTCTTCCTAATGCCTACCGTGCTTGCAGTTCGTTAACACTGAATTTCTGTCTAAAACTTTGGTCGTCTGGTTGGCGATGATATGCTCGATTAGTTTACAGCAGGATGAAATTAAAGATATCATTCGATAATGTTCTACAGATAAACGATTGCCCTTCTTAAAAATCGGCACTACCCGAGCATGTCCTCCAGTCTTTGGGTACCTGAGTAGACAACAAAGAAGCTCTGAACAGTTTAAAAAAAAATCTACTGATACATTCCGCACACATGATTTTGTTGTCTTCAAGTTTAAAAGCATTGACACAATACCATTGTACAAAATAATGTCCACCTCGTGCGGCTCAACGACAGTAGAATGAAACACGTTACCTAAACCTGTCTGGGAATAAACGATGTGAAAGTAAGTGTGAAAATGTTCGGCGATTTTATTCACGTCTTTTTTAGTGGTTCCATCGACTATTATCTCACAGACAGGTCTCTTAGCTTCGCCTAAATATCCTGAAAATTTTTCGTGTGCACTTTTCTTGAAACCAGGTAGCTGCACGTTGAAGTAGTAATCCTTTGAACTTCAAACCACTGATGACAATTTGCTTTTTATAACACTGATAAGTTGGCGTGAGTCACCCTTCTTTTTGCTTTTTTTATTTTGCGCTTCAGCTGCAATATGTTACGCGTCATCCACGGCGTTTGTTTATTGACCGTCTTTGTTTTGTTAGGCACAAACCTATTTATGCAGTGGCGACACATTTCAAGTAACATTTCCCAGAGCGTGAATACGTTGTTGTCAGTATCAGTGATTTCACCAAGGCACGTTTCCATGTAATCTATTATGCTTGCATCATCGGCTTTAGCAAAGTTTTCGAAGCAATGTTTTTTTGTACATTTAGAGACGTCAGGCGTAAGTATGGGCAAGGAAAACATTTACAAGCTTGTGATCGGACAGACCTTCATCAACAGAAACGACGCATTTCGAAAAATCACGATTCACAAATAGCAGGTCAAGAATATTGCTAGAGAAAACCTTGTACACGGGTAGGTTCATTAACTGCTTGAATTAAGTCGTGTTCTAGCATAAGGTCGAAGATAATGTTAGCATTTCTGTCCTTCTTTAAATTTGCCTGAAGACGTTCCCAGTTGATACTAGGCAGGTTAAAATCGCCCTACGAGAAAAAATTTATGCCGAAAAAGGAGACATGTATTCTTTTAGTTTTATCATTGTAATCGGGTGTAGCGTCTGGTGGTCTATAACATGCGAACAATACAAAAGAATGACCCCAGCATGACACCTGAATGCATAGGCACTCGATGTCAGGATATTCATCAATAAGTGTTGCATCAATTGGTTCTTTAGTAAGGACAGCCACACCTCCGCCCCTATGTGCTCTGTCCCTACGAAAAACTTTATAACATCGGTGCAA